GTGGATCACAAATATTCTGACTGACAGGAAGCAGCAGGCGAGTCTGGGGAAAATCACATCCAGCACCCGGACGATCAGCACTGGCACGACCAGGGGTGTGTCCTCTCCCCTCTGCTCTTCCCCCTCTACACAAATGACCGCATCTCAGGGACCCGTTTCCTGAGGTTTGCAGATGGCGACAATCTTTGGCCTCATCGGGGACGGTGACGAGTCTGCATACAGACGGGAGGCCGAACAGCTGGCCCTCTGGTGCGGTCAGAACAGCTTGGAGACCAACGCGCTTAAAACGGTGGAGATGAGAGCAGACTTCAGGAGGTGCCCCCCCAGCTCTGCCCCCCCTCACCCTATGCAACAGCACTTTATCTGCTGTGGAAACCTTCAGATTTCTGGGATTCGCGAACTCCCAGGACTTAAAGTGGGCGGCCAACACAGACACAATTGTGAAAAGGGCCCAACAAGGAATGTAATTCCTGCACCAGCTCAGGAAGTTCAACCTGCCGCTGGAGCTGCTGATCCAGTTCTACTCCGCAATGATCCAGGCTGTTCACTGCACATTCGGCCACCAAACAGGACAGGAAGAGACTACAACGGACAGCCAGGACTGCAGAAAAAAGCTGGTCTACTACCAAGTCCAGAACACTTTAACTAGAACCAATATACACCCTGAAGAGGTGTCATCTTAAACCATCAAGCTGCAAACATCCTTCTTTACGAGCAGAGTGGTAAGGAAATTCATCACCTGCCAGAAAGCCTTCTCTGCCTTTTCAGTTTTTAAATGGATAGGCTAAGGATGGGCAGCAGGGCATACACGCCCATACCAACCTCCAAAGAGCAGGCAGACAGGGTCAGCGGCATGCCAGTCCTTATCTCCATCCAGCTGTCAGAATTCCGGATCTTTCTGCATGACTCAGATGAAGCCACTGACACACCCCACACACTGGCCAAGGGCATGAGGTCAGATAACCAACATGTCTCATCTTACAAAAGATAAAGAAAATGATGCAGAGTTAAAGCCTGATAATCATTCTTACACAAAAAAAAACGAAAGTTATGCCTTTACATCAATTTTGTTTCTGTACCATAATCATTCTCCTTAGGCCTGAACGCTAGAGAAAACGGCAAAGACTTACATTACGGCTTTCGTGCATAAATGCACACATTAAAGTGAAAATCTCTTTCACCCAGTAAGCTGCAGAGAAATTCCTGCAGACTTCATGACACAGACATTCCTCGCAATCTGCAGTCACACACACACACGCCGCTCAGATGCTGCGTTATGCTAAAAATAAGAGCACACATTTGTGTTTTTCCAAGTCTACTGATGAATGGACACAGGCCCTTTCACAGAGAGATCTGAGGAATACAGGACAAACAGGAGCTGCGGGCAGACGGGCCGCTTCTCCTCTAAGCGAATCTATAGATTTTCCTCCAGCCAATAGACTCCTGTCAGGAGGATCTTGCCGAAGCGCCTGACTCAGACCCCGTGTGGCAGCAGAAACCTTGAGGAGCACTGGATGGGCCAACAGCCTGCACACTGGAACTACCCCCCTACAGCTTTTCCTGTGTCCCCACAAAACCACCTCTTGCTGTCAGGTAGCTGAGGGAGGTCAAGAAATCAATCCCCCCGCCCCCCAAAAGGCTAACATAAGGAAGTGCAGGACCACAGACATTCTGAGGTTACAGCAAGCTCTCAACAGAAAGAGGCTTCTGAGAAACTGGACACACACACGCTACAACACAAGCTTCTCTGACCAACTCACCTGACAGCACATAACTGTTAAAAACTGACCATCTATAGAAGCAACATGAAATGAAGATGAGGTCAGATGCCTCCATGAAATGCGAGAGGCAGCCAACGCTGATTCACTTCAGCACACATGTCCCTGCTCCGACGCTAATGTCAACACGCGCAACTCGGTGTCAGAGCTGAGCTGCAGATTTAAAGACTTTATCTCATAAAAGACAAAGGTTTTCTCGCGCTTTTTCAAGTCAAGTCACTTTGTCAGTTCACACACGTGAAACGAAATAGTTTCTATGGAGTAGCATATAGCCAGAACAAGGAACAGTCACGAACAAACGCCCAAACAATAAACACTGAGGGCAGAATGAACAATGAATATGCTTTTCTCAGATGAAATAAACTGAATCATTAGAATATACTATTATTCTTCAAACACTTTATATATATATATATATAAAATTATATATCTCCTTGTTCCCCAACAGGAAACATGAGGTCCACACAATGACGAGCGGTGATGAGACAGGCTTATAACGTGGCAACTTAATGCAGCCAAGAAGAGCAGATAACGGCGTAAGGTGGCCTGTAGTTCCTCAACATCAACGGTCACAAACTGCCACTGTCATACAGAGCTTCCCATAGACTAAACGGTCAGGAAACCATACAAGCACTTAAGGTCATATTTCCTACGGAGGCCCTTTATGTGAGGGAGCCGTATTGTGGATTTTAGTTGGAGAAACACAACTGATGATATAAATCTCATCACAAACAGAACATGAGCAGAGATTTTCAGCAGGTTTAGCAAGAAACGGACAAAGGGGAAAGGAGCACCTTCAGAACCTCCAGTCGTAAAGGTAGTTGGTTTGAATGACACATATTTGACCCGATACAGAGTGACAACACATCGCCAGAGGCACAATACTCAAAGCACAACTAATAAGCAACATAATGGGTTAGACGCTGTTTCAGTCCAAGAACTGGACATAAAATCCACTGGTTAGCATTATTACATTAACATTACACAAAAAACTGCTCATTTAAACGTAAATGCAGACGTTACTGGGCAGGCAGCAGTAAGAAACAGATCAATGGTGTAAAATGTATAAAAACCGTGTTACGATATTTTGATTTTACGATGGGTAAAAGTTATTCACCTTCAATACATTATTCGATAAATTATGTGAGATATTCAACACTTTATTATAAAATAAGGCTTTGCATTAATGATTTTGCCAAACTGTAAGCTAATGTGTTCTAAGCATGTTTAAGGTAAGCTAGGCTAGGCTATGATGTTTGTTAGGTTAGGTGAGCTGTACTGAAATGCATTTTTGCCTTATGATATTTTCACCTTACGACAGGTTTATCGGAACGTAACCCCATCGTAACCAGGGAGGATCTGTATAGATATTTACACTATGGACACTGATATTATATACAGGCATAGAAATTACCATCTTAGTCCCTCACACTGATATCAGCCACAAACTGGCATTTCAAAATAAAACTCACTTTCCATTCATTTCTTTCTCCCAGGACATTTGTAACGTCAAAGAGCCTTCCAAAGCTGGCTGAGCACCTGATTAAATTTGGGGAACCCATTGAACAGGAAGGACAACATCGCTTCGAAGAGTAATTAGCAGCAACATTACACGAGGGCACGTGTAATATGGACGGCAAAGCTGATCATTGCTATTGAGTGTAAATGTAACAGTCACGAAGGGGCAGGCGTGTCCGTGATGAGATACCCCAGTGCATTTCGTTTCACAACAGCACGGTCGCACTGCATGACACCAGTGTTATAGACAGCAGTCAGATGGGCGTCTAATCGGCGGTGAAATTACAAGAAGGCATCTCCCCATTCAAGCCCGGCTAAACGGCAGCCTTCAGTTGACAGGTCTCGCAACATCTGACACACTTTTTAAAGGCTGTGACCCGCCGTCACACGAAGCATGACAAGCAGTCACTTTCAGGGCGTCCCATAGTTGCCTTAGGTAACAGCAGCATCTGTTCACATGCCAGTCCATGTGCACTTTCACTAGTTTCACTGGTTTCTGAGGACAAACAGCACGACAGAGCCATTAATCTCACGAGATTAATCGCGAAAATGGTCACTGCAGAATTATGCCTACTGTACGAGATCCAAAATAGATTCAGGGATTGTCGGAAATCTCTTATTTAGATCTGCTGTAACTGGCCTGAATTATGCCAAAGCACCTCCAGATGAAGCTTTCAGCGTCTTGAACAGAAAATTTCTAAACGTTTTTTTCCTATCCGACATCAATTACAGCCTAGAGAAGACAAATCTTTTACTCTCCAAGATTAAAAGGTTCGTGATCGCGGTGAGTTTGGGTTAACACTCTGAAATATGGAAGGAATCACTTGTTTGCCACGCACCTTTCACTTTTAAACCAAATGGGTTTTTTCTTACTGAACGGTAACTACACTACGCGTTGCACACCGATCAGAAGGTAACATCACTGAAATCAACAGATGATGCATTAATAAAAACTACTGGTAAAGCAATGCTGGATCCCGATATTTCACCTGTAAACGCATTTGAAATGGTTACATTTTCTCAACTGGGTTTAGATTTTGCAGTGTACATTACCAATCGATTATGAAAAGGGACATTAATCACATTAAAATGCCACCTGTTTCCAGTGACATGCGACACACCGCAAGCGAGTCGCTCTCCGACCACATGTTACACTTTTATACGTAAGATACGATCGGTATGTCATAAGTATGTCATCACAATATGGCATCAGTATCAACAGAATGCAAACAAAACCTGACCGGGGGAGAGAAGAAATATGCCATCGGCAGAAGGTCACCTGGACCGGGCAAGCGGAACCACACTAACCAGAATGATGCATACTAGGATATATTAGTATGAATACTAGGATGTGTTAATATGATGAATACTAGGGTGCATATTAGGATATGTTATTCTGACGAATATTAGGATGTAATATTAGAATGCATATTGGGACATTTTCCGGACTAAATGTAATCGGACTTCCACCGGCGCCTCGGTCCCCCCTAAACAAACGCCGTGCCTTCCATCGCCCCCGTCCAAGCAGCGCCTGCCTGTGGCCTGCCTCCCGCTGCCCAGCGCAATGGCACAGCCCAGGGATTTGGGGATAAATAAGGCTCGATGGAGCGCGATGCGGTGCGCAGCGTGGCGTTGGGGCCATGGCGCGCGGGCGGTGAGCGCCGCCACAGTGTAACGCCGCGCGGGGAAGGCGCGCACACTCACCCGCACAGGAGCGCTACTATCAGGCACGGCAACAACACGCTCAGCCTCTTCATTATCTTCCCGCGGGGACCCACATCCTCGCTCTTTCCTCGCTTTAGGTTTTATTTTTTCTTTGCCTTCGTTTCTCTGCTTCCCGTCGCTCTTTCTCCCCAGGCAGCCCGATTCAACCGCGATGCGTGTCCGCTTCCACGTTACCGCGCCCCCCCCCTCGGCGGCTGCTCCTTCCCCCCCAGCGAGGTGCCGATAGTCTGGCCGCCCCAGCTCCAGCCGCTGCGATTCCGCTTTCTCTGCTCGCCACCCCCCGCCGCCCCCGTGACGCGGCCGCTCTCGGTTCCTCCCCCTTCGGCTCGGAGCCGGAGTCCCCGCGTCACACCGTATTCTGTGACCGTCGTAATGTGCGACTCCCCGCGCGCCGTTTCACATGTCATTGGGAATTAATGTAAGGTTCCCGTTCACGTGCACCAGCCCTCTGCGCATTTTACGTAGCGTAATTTGCGTAGCGTATTTTATCTTTTTCAAGGCAGCAGCGTTTCCGCTTTCTGTTCCGTCCTCATATTTCTTAGTGTTGTCTCAGGAGTTATGATGGCATATAAGTCTTCTGCGTGTTCTTTTAAAAATCGAAATTCGCAAATTATGTAGGTGGCTAAATTAATGGGTATTTCTGAGCTGTAAAACATGTAGCCGATGTCGGGACTATTTCCCACGTTTGTTCACTTTTATTTTTGATTTTATTTCAAAGGGGATGGGTGCAAGCTAAATAGAAAGGATATAGTCATGTATGTAACTGCAGATTTTAAAACTGACATGACAGTTATTCTTTTCAATTTCCTTGTCTTACTTTCTGATACGTACACAGCCGATAAGGTGTCCTGCCGCACACTACATTTACTGACACTATTAGGAATGTGTGAAATATGTTATGTGACATTTATATTCGTCATTTTTGGCAGACATCCGGCCGGCAGAGGGCGGCAGAGGGCCACGCACGATTGGCTACCGTAGAGCTTAAGCGCACCGTAGAAAAGTCTTTCCGCCGGTCGGAAGGGGACGCAGTCGCTCCGCTGCAGCTCAGTGCTTCGGCTTTCCTGTTCGTCGCCGTCGGCGCAGACCCGTAATCATGGGCGCCTTTGCGGTGCTGGCGGCTTTATTCGTGTCGGTGTCCGTCGCCGAGGTGGGGGCGGCCTTCTCACAGTCCTTGGACAGCGACTTCACCTTCACCCTGCCCGCCGGCCGCAAGGAGTGCTTCTTCCAGACCATGAGGAAGGACGCCTCCCTGGAGATCGAGTACCAGGTGATCGGCTTCTCATCGAACTTCATTTACAATAAACTAAACCCATAAAAAACAAACGAGACAAGCCGGTTGAAAGTCTCGTGTGTCGCGTATCTCTTCGTGTGTTATTCCCAGGAACTGTTATCTTAGTTAAAGTTGAAGATGTCAGCGGAGGCATTGTAAGTATTAGATCAGATAGTGAGTTTCGGATTTCAAATTTTGTCACACGTGTTTCTCTGAACACCGTGAAATTCCGATGCCACAGTTGTAGGAAAGGAGATAACAGAAAACTCAGCAGTGCAAGACAAGCAGTAGTATAAGACAAGGCGAAGCTGCTATCAGAATGAGTTAACAATAAGTAGCAATAACTATGTGCAATGGGGTAAGCATGCAAATGGACCACGGTATATAAAGTCAAGCGATGGTTATGTCACTCTAGTGTTACACCATCTTGCACATCTTGGCAGTCTCTTCAATTTGGAGCACAGGGCAAATAAAAGGACATGTCTGATTATTCGTCGCTTGTGTAACAGCGGCGCTGCAGAACCTGCAGTCAGGTTGGGGGACAGTTTGGGTATATGACATTTACTACAACTTTGTCTACTGAAATCTGTGACACCTTTCACTTTTTTGGGGGGACTGGTGGTTCAGGAGGCAGCACTGTTGCTTCACGCCTCCAGCATTGGGGGTTCAAGTCCCATTTTTACTCTGGATTTGCCTGCCATGTCTTTCCCCTGCTTTCCTCCTACAGTTTAAAGACATGCATTTGGGATTACTGGCATCTCTAAATTAGTGTTTCCCAATCCAATCCTTAGCGATCCCCAGACAATCCACATTTTTGCTCCAACCTAGTCTCCAGTGCACCTATACAAAGGGATTCAGTGTTCTTTATTGGCTGGGAGCAGGGAAGAAGCAAAAATATGGACTGTCTGGTGGTCTCCAAGGATTGGGTTGAGAAACCCTGCTTTAAATTTCTGATAGTGTGAATGTTTGCTTCCAGGCCCCCAAGCAACCATGACCAGGATAAGTGGTTTGAAGGTCAGATTTTCTCCGACCTTGAATCGTCTGAATTTGCTTTATCTCAGGATGTAATCTGTCACATCACTCCCAAGTCACTTCTGCCCGTCACTAAACAGCTCCAGTAGTTCAACAAGTAGAGCATTATATTAGTAAATTAAGGGTTTTGGGTTGAAATTCCAGGTGTCACATAAATATATAAAGGATCATTTGGCTTTATTTGCTGGTCCCTCTGGCTTCTCTGACATCTGCCTCCTGTCCCCTTCTGTCCCTCCTCTGACCCTTAGGTGCTTGACGGGGCAGGCCTCGACGTGGACTTCTCCCTTTCTTCGCCCAGTGGACACGTGCTGGCCAGGGACCACAGGAAGTCGGACGGCGTTCACACGTAGGTGGCGCTGTCTCTCTCTGATTGGGGGGTTGCAACTGAGATCCCCATTTGCCACGTTGTTATTTTCGTTTCTGCAGGGTGGAGACGGACGACGGGGACTACATGTTCTGTTTTGACAACACCTTCAGCACTGTCTCTGAGAAGATCATCTTCTTCGAGCTAATCCTGGACAACATGGAGGACGTGGAAGGCGACCAGGACTGGAAGGAATACGTCCACGGGACGGACCTGCTGGACATGAAGCTGGAGGACATCATGGTAACTGAGGTTGAAACACCACTGCTCTTCTCCTTTCCAGATAAGACCTCCAACCAGGCCCAGTGGCTGTACAGCAGAGCAGTGCCGATTAATCCCAGCGCCGTCTGTGTTGTTAGCGTACACGGCTGGCGACCTTGTGCAGTGGCCGTTTTGACACTGCCATCTGGTCCCTCGGATCATGGTGGCCTCACCCGGTGTCATAGTGACCCAGCTAACTTACCGTCCGTTTCTACTTCCCTGGGAGAGCAGAGGATCCCAAAGAAGCCCGCCAAGAGCGCCCCAGTTAGAACGTGCCGGTAGTTTCTTCATGTTTGCCAGGTAGACAAACGAAATGTTCGTGTGGTCAGAAAGCCTGATGCAGTTCGCTCTTCATATCGGTCACTCTTCCATGTGGGTGTCGTTTCGTTTGCTCACGTATGCACGAGCCCACGCGTGTGAGACTCACCAGCACCGCACCCGCTCGTCTTGCAGGACACCATCAACAGCGTCAAAGCGCGGCTGGGGAAGAGCCTGCAGATCCAGACGGTGCTGCGTGCGTTCGAGGCTCGCGACCGTAACCTGCAGGAGAGCAACTACGAGCGTGTCAACACCTGGTCCTGCGTCAACCTGCTGGTCATGGTGCTGGTGTCCGGCCTGCAGGTGTACCTGCTGCGCAGCCTCTTCGACGACAAGCGCAAGAATCGCACGTAGCATCCACATGCTTTGGGGGGGGGGGTGGCTGGAGTCTGACTTTACATTTGGTCGGGGGGGGCCTACCCTCCTCATCTCTGCACGGCCGACGGACCACACACACACTCTCGCGCACACACACACACACACACACGCTGTGAGGCACATTCTTCCAAGCTCTGTCCATCCATCCACTCTTCTCTAATGGCCTGAGGTCAGTGGGACATCCTTTGCTTGTCACTCTAGAGTCTTTGTCTCCAGTTTCACACTGTTGAGTTGCTGGACGCGACACTCGTTAAAATCCTTGGGACTGTTTGGCATTCTTCCCAATATCCAGGTTCCCAATCTAGGGGTTTTAATTAGATCTCCATGCTGCTGACCTAACGGAGATTGAGACCCAGGGCTTTATTTTTAGTTGGAAAATGAATTACTTTTATATTAATCTTAATCTGTAAGAAATAGGTCATATTTAATGCTTTGTATGTCTATTTGACACTAACCCCTAATATGTTGACCATGTGACTGTTTACAGGCCTCCAGGCTGTACTTGCTGTCACCCCACTGGTGACAGCATCCTGTCCTTTAGTGAGACAGGAAGTGCGACCCCTATAGTGTGCTGTCGTGTACTGCACATAGCCTGCAACCAGAGCCTGCAGAGATAAATGCAGACTGGCTCTCTACTGAATCTACGTCCGGATAGGGGCGGAGAGGAAGTGAGAAGCAGCCATTAGATCCTCTGCATGCATCATTTATGGGCCGTAAGCGATGACGGGCCTGGCGCTGCACTGACACACCTCTGCTTTCGCTCCTGAAGGGGGGGCACCGTGGATCCGAGTTCCTGTGTTTCCATCTATAGTGCAGAAAGGCATTCCTGTGTAGGATGTGGAACCTGTAAGCAGGGGGCAGAACCGCATTGTGGGTCTGCTAGTCAGTCTGCATCCAGGCTGAATGGGATCTAGGGGCAAATAAAATGGTAGGCAGATGCTTACTCAGCTCACTGCAGTAACAAAGGGAGTCCAGTATAAAATGCTGCAAATTCTTGTGGGCAAAACGTAGAAAGAAATGGTAGCATTAATTCACCCGAGCCATTTCTGTGACCCAAACACGATGGGGTCAGTGGCAGAGGGACCCCTTTCTGTTTGCTAATAACTCAGGATAATGTTACAGTGCCGCTGAGCGTGAACCTTGGACTTAACAGGAGATAGGAATTGCTGCAGGTTTGGAGAAAGACTACTAAAATCTGTCCCTGACGTCACAGCAGGCTAGGGGATTGGGGTCCCAGCCTGACCTGAGAGGGGTTCAGCTATATAAAGGGATGGTACCATAGCACTGTATGCTAAATTAGCTCCTGGGCTGCGCATTTCATGCTAAGCAACGCCTTAAGTTACTAATGTCAGGCAAGACTGTGGCACATACAGCCAGGAGTCTGGGAAGATGAGCACAACTTAGACCAATCTTCATGCTGCGCTTGTCTGCATGCAACACGGATCCCTGTGAGCAGATGAATAAACACACCTTAAGAGTCCAGCCTTTGTACTCACGGATCTCTGTCAAAGGCCTGTTTATGCAAGTGAATCGATGTTGAGCTCAAAATGTGAACGGACTCGTTTCCCACGAGGGAGGCAGACTGCTGCGTCTTGGCCACCAGGGCGGCGACTCGCAAGCGGCTGCCCTGCGCGCGGCATGATCCTGCGCCCTGTCGCCGCTCTGTACCCCTCCGTCTAAGTGCCTCCATTTTTACCGTCAGTATTTGTATTCGCTGGTTTTACTCGCACCTGCTTTATATTCAGGCAGACTGAGTGTAACGTGACTAAAGTCAAATAAACGTTTATCGTTCATATATTTCAGTGTCTGAAAGTGTTTGTGAAGCACTGGAAAGTAATTCGAATAATGAGGTAATTTATTTTCAATAATAAGGATTGGTTCTGTTGCAACACATTTAACTAGAAATTTCGCTCTCAGGATGCACTATTCGTGGCATTTAATTTAGCATAAAACTTTATTAAGAAAACGTGGCAATGATAAAAACATTTTCTATTAATAGTGCCATTTTCATAAATGGAATATTAGGGTTATTTGCATGAGTGTCCGAAGTCGCAGCTGACCATTGTTTTCTTTGCATGTATATTTCTGTACTACTATGCAGACCCTACAGACATCGCTCTGGTGTTTACTGTAATCACAGTGCTTGCTATTAATATAGCAAAAGGGTCGCACACACATCCCCGAAAAAAGGCACCTAATGAGTAGTAATCCAAAGAAGCTGAAAGTAAGTGGAGGTGAGTATTTCCCGTTCGCCCTCGGAAACGGAGCTGTTGGCATGACAGTCTATACCAGGGGTAGCCAATCCTTTTCTTTTTCTTTTTTCTTTATAGATAGGAAACGCCTTAAGGGTTTCAGAAGTGTATAATGTTTTGAGTTTTTTTTTTTAACATTAATGGCAAGAAAGAGCCTGTAAGATGGGATGTTTATAGGCCTACAATTCAGAACAATTACTTGTCACGGTATGGTCTATATAATTAATGAATAAAGTTGCAGCCTATACCATCACTAAGGATATTTTTGTGCGTTAATGGCTACCAGTGGACCACCGCAGGCCGGCTATGGACCGATAATGGTCTGCTTACTGGTTACCACCAGCGGTCTTGCACGGAAAAGTCATTGATAAGCCGCTATCTCTGTGGCACCCTTCTGCTGGGGAACCGTCAATAGACCAACAGCTGGAAATTGGTGGCTAGCCAATCTTTATCCGCAAAGGGCCGGTGTGTATGCGGGTTTTCGCTGCAACTCCCTAATTAGATTACTAATTAGAGGACTGATTGGCTGAAAGAGTCCTCACACCTGGGTTTGAACAGCCAACCTACAGGTTATCCCAAAAACCTGCATACACACCCGACACCGGCCCTTTGCGGATAAGATTGGCTACCCCTGGTCTATACGATTGTTGGTAAACTAAAAAAAGTTTAATCAAAGCAGACACAAACGCATCTTTTTACCTGAACATCAGTCTCATCGCGAAAAGAGTTACTTATAATTTTGCTATCAGAAAAGATGATATTCATTTCCCATTAGCGAATACCTGAAAGTTTATTATGTGACTATAAATACATCCTTCAAAGCAAACCTCGTGCCCCTCACCAGGGGGCGCTCCCGCATTATCACATGGTTATTCCAAAGGACGATCGCTTCCGGGTGCTGAAGCGCACAACAATCAGGCGGATCGTGGCGACTCTTTTACAGGTTTGTACAAATTGACAGTAGAACTCGAATAGACACTTTAATGACATCGTTTGCTCTTGTTATTTCAGTAATGGCAAAAACGTCTGCAGGTAGAGAGATTTTACTGTAGCTCGACGTCTGATCCCTTTATTATTCGCCTGACAGATTACGACGTTGTCGGACGTTGCAGTGAAATATTTCCTACCTACGGAGAACATCACGCTGTATTCACGACTTTATCCCGACATCTAGTGTAGTTTATTAACGGAACCTATTGGATGTCTGTATTACTGGGTTACGCGCTCTCGGCGTACTGCCCCACATCTCCCAACAGCTGCATGCAGCTACTGTAAGGGCGATTCCTGTTCTGACGGGCCATGGGCGCGGACGGCGCCCCCTGGCGGAAGGTGCTGTATGAGCGCCAATCCTTCCCGGATAACTACGTGGACAGTCGCTTCCTGGAGGAATTGCGGCGCAATGTGGGTGTGCGGAGATACCGCTACTGGGCCGTGGTGCGGGAGGCAGGCCTGGTGGCTCAGCAGCTGTCCTGTGTGGCTGTGGTTCTCACGTTGTGGTCCTACATGGATCAGGGGCAGCTGACCCCAGCCACACTGCTGCTGGGCAGCGTGCTGTGTGCCCTGTTAGGCTACGGGTTGTACCGTGCCCTGGGCAGGGGCCACAGCGGGGAGCGGACGCGCTGCGCCGACCTTCAGAGCGCCACCATCTTCATGGCCTTTACCTTTGGCTTCTCGCCGGTGCTGAAGACGCTGACAGAGTCGGTGAGCACGGATACTGTGTACGCCATGGCGGCGCTCATGCTTCTAGCTCACCTGGTGTCCTTCCCCTACGCCCAGCCCAGCCCGCCAGGCAGCTTGTCGCTCAACGCGGCCCTCTTTGCGTCTGTGTGCCTGGCCTCCCGCCTGCCAGGCGCGCTGTACGTCTTCGCCATGATGACGTGCGCCATACTGGTGTTTGCTCTCTGGCCCTGTCTGCTGCACCGCCTGCGTGACGTGGCCCCGTGCACCTTCCCCTGGGCGGCGGCGCTGGTGTCACTGGGGGGTGTGGCCGGCCTGGCCAGTCTGTCCCCGGGGGGCGCTCTGCTTCTGACCCTGACGCTGCTGGCTCTGACTCTGCTCTGCCCCCTGCTGCTGCTGTGGCTGCAGAGGCACAAGGACAACATCCACGGGCCCTGGGACGAGGCGGAGATCCACGAGGACCTGTCTCGCATCCTGCGGGGGAAGGACTGACAGCGCCATCCTCAGGACACGGCTGGAGAGCAGAATGCCGGCAGTGCCGACATTGCGGCCCCCCTTTGTAGCACGCGCCACGATCCAACCCCATTTAGTGAATGAGATGGAAAGAGCTACATGCTAAAATGGTCCAGATGAGCCTGCGAACTGGCAGAGGTTTAGTTTAATGCATCAAATACTGAAAAATCTATACTTGATAGTTGAATGTGTTTTCTGTTTAGATATGTTTTAAACAAACTTGTCACAGACTTAATGTATATGTGACAGGAGTAGATTACTTTATGGTTTTTAATGGGAAGAGCTCAGTATTATTTTCTCATTTTTTTACGATGGCTGATACATGATTTAAGAATATGGGAATCGTGAGGCTTGTTTTGTTTTTCTGCTCATGTCTCCATCTTCTTGGTGGTCAGGACCGTCTAACCTTCATGTCCCCATCAGACAAGGGCATCACAGTGATCATTGTTTGTGAGAGATCCTCCGGTAGCTGCCATAGTCCCAGGAATCCTCATCATCATTGTGCAGTACACAGGTGTCACCACTAGGAGTCACCTCCGTGTTTCACTTCAGCTGCTGATCCTCTGCAGCCCAGCAGAATTGGGGGAATCCCACAGATTATACCAGATTGTTTCTCCAGGAAAGGATGAGAAGCATTTTCCAGCCTCACATGCATTTAATGTGTTGACAGAAATATATAAAGTTTAGACAACTGGTTAGTGTGTTAACGTATGAGGTAGTTCTATGTATAAAGAAAAACACATGCTTTGCTAAAACTATTCTGTTCTAAACTGAATTTTTAAGCAGTCTTTCTCCCCCTATTTTTGACATCATGTTATGAAATACTAGAGCTCTTTGTACTGAAAACTAAAAATGAAAAATATTTCATAGTATGACTACAGTTTTTTTCCAGTGGACTGACATGTTTTATTTGAAAAAGCTACACGTATGGATGTGTATTTCAGCTACTTCCCCAGTGGCTCACAGAGAGTCTGTCCCAGGAAAAACTTTATATATATATAATATGTTTATTTATATATGTTAATTTACAGAGAGAACAAACATAACAGTGAGTGGGAGGAAGTGTTACCCGGGATGGAGGGAGACGCAGACGCTGTTTCCCGTGGCCGGGATGCTCTTTGTCCCCGCAGGACATTCACACGTGATACACAGACGCGACACTGATATGTACAGAATGGCACAAAGGCGGAGCCTAGTCCAGCAGCCCGCAGCATGGTGGGGGCTCACTGACGTGCTTCTCCATGGGTGATGACGGCGTGCCAGCGGGGGTCCTTTGGGGGCCAGGCTGGGGGGGGGGTCTCAGTGCTCAGGCCTGGAGGGCACAGCTGGTGGGTGTCTCCTGGACAGGAACACAGACACAGCACGCAGTTAGTGAGGCTGGATCTGCACAGGGAGCATCGACCGCATGCGCCCGCAGATCTCTGTGCCCGCAGATCTCTGTGCCTTCAGGGTTCTGCCACCACATGGGATATATATTATATATATATATCATTAATATAGGCCAATGAGAGGATTTGCTTAAGATCTGCTACTGCTATACACTGGAGCACTGAGGACATTTAGAGCACCAATCAAATGACAGTTACTGTAAAAATGTCAACAACACAATATATATTAACAGACAGTATGCACGCAATAAAGGCCATCCGTCCATCTGTCCATCCACCCATCTATGCTCATAGCTGATGGGTACAGACAGCTGAAGGAGGGTTAGGGTGGGAGGTATGGGAAGGAGGAAAACTCGGGAGTGGGCCAGTGAAAGGAGGGAGAAAAACACCAACATGGGGCGGGCTTTTCCTAATCTAAACACATGAAGCCCAATACACTCAGAGTCTGTGAAGGTGCTGGGGGGCTGTTTGGTTCTAGTCAGGAGTAGCAATGCAGGCAGACCATCTCGTCAGGTTCATCATGTCCTACAAACCTTCCGTAATGGAGGCATCTCCCCATACATCACTGATCTGACCACCCAGACACACACAACTATCTCACTGCTTACAGCTGGGGTACAATAACACTGAGATAATAAAAGCAGGGACAGTGTCTCACAGAACCTCAGAAGGACGCACTGAGCCCCAGGCTGGAGCAGAAAGCCCATCTACATCGAGAACGTGCTACATCATTTTTTACTGTACAGACAGCAGGAGATGTTCTTCTCAGGCACACTGTGCCGGTCTGGGAATGCTGTGGTCGTGCTGGGCTTGATGCCGAGGCGGAGGCGGGAATAGCTTACGGGAACGGCTGGCTGCGGTGCCGACGAGTGCAGCGATGGTGTCCCGATAGACAGCCTGACCTGACGGTGTACAGGGGTCAATTGTGCAAGACTGAATTAGCACAGGGGACACGGCATGTGAGTGCGCGGGTGCTGAAGGGGCTCTGTGGGGAATGCAGCTGGATAGTAGCGTGCACTGAGACTGGGAACGGGGGCGTATGGGGGGGTACGACTGGGGGGGGTGAGGAGGAGGAGGCAGCCGGCGTGCTGCAGAATGATAAGGAGCAAGGGAAGAAGAGGAGCGCATGGGGATGAGTGGCGGCACGGCGAAGATGGGGACAGGGTGGGGGATAAGGGCAAAGAGGCGTAGATGTGAGCACACCAGGAGGGAAGCGGAGATGGAGGGAGAGAACGGGTGGAGGAGGAGAGGGGAAAAAACTGGGAAAGGGAGTGTAGCTGAAATGAGGCAGAGAGAAGGTGAGAGAGGAGCCAAAAACCAGGAAGAGTGATGGAAAGAGAGAAAGGAAGGAGGGAGAGCAGGGGTCGCAGAGGGAAAAGATGGTTGGATGGAGAAACGACAGAGGTAAAGCAAGAACAGGCGAGAAGAAAATGCCGATTCAGAGAGAGACTGGCCCGACTGGAACCCTGTCCATGCGCAGTACACCTCAGTGCTGCATGAGAGAGCGCCACCTGCAGCTGAAACGAAACGCAAATTGGAGTATCTGTGCGTCACTTTCCCACACTATAGGCTGGACTCTCACATGTCCTTCCTTTTCCTAAACCCTGTGTGTCCCTTAACACAACCCACCTTGTCTTCTCCAGGCCAACTCCTAGCAAACTCTTCCTCTTGTTACCATGTTGACTCTGGTCGCTGTTCCTTCCTCCTAACTAGAAGAATTGTTCAGTGTCATGCCATGAGTATGAGAATTAGTCCTTTCGGCTTATGAGTAATCTCTCTCTCTAATAATGCCGTCAAGCGTGTCTGAGTATTGGTACTTTCAGTTTATAAGTAACCTCTGTCTCTGATAATGCCGTCACATGTTACTGAGTATCAGTGCTTTCAGCTTATGAGTAATCTCTCTCTCTAATAATGCCGTCAAGCGTGTCTGAGTATTGGTACTTTCAGTTTATAAGTAAACTCTGTCTCTGATAATCTGGTCAAACGTGTCTGAGTATCGGTACTTTCAGTTTATAAGTAACCTCTGTCTCTGATAATGCCACCACATGTTTGCTGAGTATCAGTGCTTTCGGATTATGAGTAACCTCTGTCTCTGATAATACCATCAAACAGGTCCGGTATTTTCAGTTTATAAGTAACCTCTGTCTCTGATAATGCCGTCATATGTGCCTAAGTGTCAGTGCTTTCAGCTTATGAGTAACCTCTGTCTCTAATACTCTACTCCATATACACTCAGACCTGGATCACCCCATTTATTAAAATATCAGCAAATTTAAATACTAAACAAGTACTGGGCTTAAATGTGGCTTGGAACCTTGGTCCAGTTCTAATTCATTAAGTACACCTCTTGATAAACAGTTGACTTGCTGAATCTCACCTTGTTCTTTTTCTACATGGGAAAATAAAGTCAGAATGGCAGATTATTCTTCAGTGGGGGGCTGGCCTGCTTAGACGCTGCACATGACATCGGAACCTGAATATCCTACCAGGAAGGGATGTGCTTTGGTCTCAAAGCCACCCTCAGCCTTACATTCATGCTTAGACTCTAACTCATACGTAATCAGTGGTGAATGTGATCCATAATGTCCGAACTCTGCTCTAACAGGTACTATTTGGTGAGAGTGAGAAACTTCATTCCTCCACTTGCACCCGTGGATCCCATAGTGATTAGAGAACTCATTAAAGTTAATTATGTTAATGGTACAAAATGGTCTTATCATCATTGTATGGCATGGTGCTAATTTACTGTATGTTACCCTTCTTGAAACGTACTGTTGAAACTAAAGGGGGGGCGGTATAAGGGGTATATAGAGTACACCGATATTTTTGACAACACCATGCTAATTGGTAGAGTAGGCTTCATTGTCATCAGCTTGCGCCAGCGAATCGCCTCGGAAACGTCAGAGCCCATGCTGCTTAAACGAAGAAATGGCTGAAAGTGCTGCCACAACTAAGGGGAGAGTTTGTTACTGGTGGAACTTCCATTATATGTAATGGATTTGGATTTATGGCTGCTTGATGGTGCAGTGGTTAGCGCTGCTGCCCCACAGCAAAAAGGGCCTGGGTTCTGTCTCTGGGCCGGGAGTAGGTCCTTTCTGTGTGGAGTTCATGCTGTTTCCGTCGGGGGCTCAGTTTCCCTCCCACTGTCCAAAAGTGTGCAGGACAGGTTGATTGGTGACTCTAAGTTGGCCCCGTGAGTATGTGCACCCTGTGTTGGTGGCTGCCCAGGGTTGGTTCCCACCTGCGCTCATTGTTCCCAGGATAGGCTCTGGTCCCCCCTGTGACCCCAGTTGGGAGTAAGCAGTTGCGGTGATGGATGGATTTAGATTTATAAAGTCAGACAATAGGCAGAAAACGATTGTCGGGCAACAGTGGCTGCATGGGGTGGTGATACAAGCAGCCTTTTCTATCATCTCAGATCCAAACACATCCTGCTGTACTTCAAAAGGCGGCACACAATGAAGTGTTTTTCATGCATGGAATAGCAGGGTACTATGTGAAATATTTCCTGGTATTACTGTTAAGGGTACAGTGATAACTACCAGCCAGTTACCAAACCAGTGCTTTACCCCTTCAAGAGCATCTATATTGAAAAAAGAAACAAAAATACTGGGATTTATACCGCTACCACCAATGCTTTAAATTTTACTGTGATATTAATTTTAGGCCATACCACCCAATCCTAGTGGAAACTGCATGCAGGATGCTGAGGTTCTGATCAGTGTCCGGGCCTGGCTTACCTGGGAATACTGGGAGGGGCTCGGTTGGGGCGATTGGGCACCTGCGGGGGCTGGAAAGCATCTGAGCTGTTATTGAAGGGGCCAGGGGGGCCCGGACGAGAGGGTACGGGGGGCGCTGTAGGGGCAGGGCCGCGAGCAGGGGCCCGGGGGCCAGAGGGGAACCTCTTGGAAGCGGTTGGGCTGAGGGGAGGAGACCTGTGATGTGGAGTGCAGCTAATAAACAGCAGATCCTGACAGCGCCACCTTCTGGATCAACATATTTATCACATGACAGCTTAAGATAAACATCGGGTTAGACTTTAGCTACACTTACACAGGCAGCATTAAATGAAAATTTGTACATTGTTTTTTGCACTGTTTTTATGTTTCAAAACACATCACCTGCGACCTGAGCCAGCCTGTAGCCACGAACTGTCAACAGGGGGCGGCAGAGGTGTGGAGATGGTGGAGGTGGAGATGTCACCGATGATGGCCAGCGCCTCCGTGAGGGCGTGGTGTGTGCGCAGGACCTCGTCCCGGCGCTGGGCCTGCTCCGGCGACTCATCCATGAGAGCGTTCTGGTCCCCCGTGGAGTAGAGCTGGGCGAGCAGCTCGGCATTGATGAACTCCTTTACCTAGAAGGGAGACAGGGGACCAGTGGCAGCGAGAGGGCGCACGGGCAGCCGGGAGGCGGGACCAGGGTGGGGGGGTTGGCTCAGTAGGCAGGGTAGGGCCAGGAGGCGAGGTGGGGGCTCACGTTGATGATCATGAGATGCATGATGGTCTTGGGCATAAGGTCTCGGATGCACTTGTTGACGATGGCCATATAGGAGTCCACCAGATTCCGGATGGTCTCCACCTGCCGCTCCAGCTGTGGGTCCATGGAGAAGGAGTCCGAAGGGCCGGAGTTCTCGCCGTCCGCCTGGTGGGGGAAAGAGGAAGTGCGGAGATGGGAGAGGAGGCCAAATGCAGACAGATACGATACATGAAGGTGCGTGAAAGCCAGCAGAGCTCAGAGGAGTGCCCAAAGCCCTTCTCTGGGGCCTGCTACTTGTGTGTGAGCCTTTAAATGCGTCAAGAGCGTCCCCGATGGCGTCCTAACATCACAGCCTGAGTGAGTTAGCTGAAACATCCGGGAGCATCTCGTTTGTGAACGTGCCCCAAGACGGAGACAGAAGTGGGCGGGCCAGGGGGGAGGGCGATGATTAAACCTAGAGCAGGGATCCTCCCCCCCAGGTTAATGTCCCACATGGTGATACTGCAGCGCAGGGATGCCCCTGGTCCTGCCACGATAGACCATGGGGGCAGGAGGAGATGCAGAGGGCGCTACAGGTACTCACTGAGACTTTTTCGGGGTACACCCCAGCACGGAGCAGAGAGGCCTTCCAGCTGTCCACATCGTCCTGGGTGTCACAGGCTAGCTCCAGAAAGCGGTAGTCTTTATAGACATTCCTGAAAAAGCAGACAGGGGCAGCAGTGAAAGCAGAATGGCACGAACGACAGGACACACACGTCAGCAGGACTGGCTGCTCGCACATTCAACCCCACCCATCAGGACCCTCTCTGACATGCACACACACACACACACACACACACACGCACACACACACCAAAGCTGACAGGCCACCGTGGCTGTCAGACACACAGAAACCCAAATTCCCATCAGCTCCATCTGTTAGGCATTCCCCCTGATTACTCTGTTGTTCCTTCTATTTCAGCGTGTGTGTATGTGCGCGTGCATGCGGGTGTGTGTGTATGTGTGCTAGCATCCTGTGTGGGGAGAGATCGAGGATTTATCAAAGCCAGGCATCTCCAAGTGGGATTTGTTCTCCAAAAAAAAAACACGCAAGTGCACACACAAACGCACACATACACTTCATCTCCAATTAGAATCAAAAGTCTCACTGCGCCTTATACGAGGCCTGGATTTGGCGGCGTTGAGGTAACTGGCTTGCATCTCTGTTCAGGGGCAGGCTGTTCATTGTTCACTGGGACAGTGTGAGCGCTGTAGCCCTGTCTGCTTAACGGACATTTTGCAGATCGCCGTGTGTTTGCTCCGGGGTAAGCCTGCGACAGTTTGACAGCCAGTGTGTGATGGAAGGGCAGCCGAAGAAACAGGATCCAATATAATGGGATCACCAGGGCCAAGATCTGCTACAATGGGATCACCAGGGCCAGGATCCACTACAATGGGATCACAAGGGCTAAGATCCGCTACAATGGGATCACAAGGGCCAGGATCCAATACAATGGAACCACAAGGGCTAAGATCCGCTACAATGGGATCACCAGGGCCAGGATCCAGTATGAGTGGATCACATCTCTCCCAGTTTGGGAGGTGTCCATTCGAACACAGCGGCTCTCTAAGATAGTGACCCCCCACCATTGCGCAGTGCGCAGACCGAAGCCAGTCATTAACATGCCTTTCCCCCCTTTCCTCAGCTCCCTCGCGCCAGGAATTTTCGTTTTGCGGAATTTCTGTGCAAAGCGCTGGCTGCTTTTGATTTGGGGAGTTTCCTGAGGGCTTCGATTACGGTCAGACAGGGACCCTGCGCTGGGATCGGTCTGGCCGGCACACCAGCACAAACAAAGCTACGCGCACAGACGCGGCAAGGGAACAGGGGGCGCCGTAGGACACACTCTGACACATTCCTGGCTGATTCCCGCCTCTCCTCTGCCTCCTGCTTCCCGCTCCGTCTTTGTGGTGAGCACGGAAATTCTTTCCTAACAAGAGAAGCTTCGACGCTCAGTCAGGGGTGGGCCTGGATCTGATTAGCTGCTTAATTAGCCTGCAGACGCTATTCTGCCACTCGCTCTTTTGTAGAAACGCTGGATGGGATCATAAACAGACCCCCAAACCCCCCATCCCCCCTGGCTCTCCCGCTCCTTTAACTCGTACCGTTGGATTTTTTAAAAATCTTTCCTAAAACCGTTTGTTTCTCATCATGAAATATTTTTTTTTTCTATTTCTTCATCCAGCCAATCTGTCCAAATGGGCAGCCCGGCCCAAAGCAAAAAGCCAAAAGCTCTGGCAGTTAATTCTCTGTTAGGCGGTTTCGCTGAGGGACAGGGAGGCGTCTCCATCACTCTCCTTCGCTTTGGGACATCATGGCTGAGCATTATGGCTGAACGTCACACTTGAGCATCACAGCTGAATGTCACGGCTAAGCATCATGACTGAACGTCATGACTGAGCATCACGGCTGAGCGTTACGGCTGAGCGTCACAGCTGAGCATCACGGCTGAGCATCACGGCTGAGCATCGCGGCTGAGCATCACGGCTGAGCATTATGGCTGAGCATCACGGCTGAGCGTTATGGCTGAGCGTCACAGCTGAGCATCGCAACTGAGCATCGTGGCTGAGCATCACGGCTGAGCGTTATGGCTGAGCATCACGGCTGAACATCGCGACTGAGCATTGCGGCTGAGTGTCACAGCTAAGCATCATCGCTGAGCGCTACGGCTGAACATCACGATGGAACATCTCAGGAAGCCCCCACCACCCACCTGAGCAGAGCCCCCCTGAGGACACACCCAAACATACCCTAAATCCCAGTACAAACTACTGCGAATGTGACTGGCTGCAGTGTGGGGAAACAGGGCCTCCAGACACTACCCGGGGGGGGAGGGGGGGAGTTTTGTCGAATTGTGTGCTATACGGTGTCTACAGTTCGTCTGGCTGCTGCATGTGGCTTTGAGACAAAACGGCAAAGCAGCCACTCTGCTGCTCCTTCCAAGGTGCTGGAAACTGCAAGCTGATACGCGGGATCATCTAACAGGCCAATAACACACAAGCAACTCCAGCTTAAATCAGGAGAGCTGCAGCAATAACACCATAAATCAGCTGCAGTAACAATTTACGCCTATTCTGCTCTGTGCCGCTAAGGGCACAAGTATTAATAAGTACAGAAGCTCCTCGGAGTGACTTTTTTGATTCAGAGCGAATACAGATCCCAGTATTCTGAGTTAAAAGCAACCAGCGTAAGAAAACATAGGTGAGTACCAATTTCAACAAGGAGTACCGAGAATAACCTCAGCCTGCCGAAAGGATTCCTCGTCTGTGCATCCTCTACCCGATACACCCCTTAGCATCCCGATAAATGATGGCATTCTGAAAGAAACGTTGATTCGTCCCGATTTAGCTTCTCAGAAGTGGAGTGAATGTGTATTTAAATGCTAAAAGAAACCGGCGGCTTTTCCCTCATTTCAAACCGGCATAGCGGAAGGAACAGAGAGCGCAGGAGGAGAAGGAGGAGGACAGAAGTAGAGCTGTGCAGCATGGCGATGCCCGGCCGCTATCAACAGGTGAGAGTGTGAAGAGTTGCTCGATACAAATGAGCAAATGCGCATATATGTGAGTGAGTCAGTGTCACTGTTGACTAGTTTTAAGAAGAAGGATTTTATACTGAAAAGAGCCCAAGTTGAGGAATGTTACTGTGAGAGCGTAGAGAGGAAGCTGTGTTTGGATTTGTCAATTAAAGATAATAATAATTCATCATTTTTATCTATTCCCATGGATAAATTATCTTTTTTATGCTTCTCCCAAGCTGGCCAGCCACCATAGCAGCGCCCATGGGATTAAGGGTCTTGCTCAAGGAGCCGCAAACGTAACGAGGCCGGGCTCAGACCCACAGAGGCTTAGCCCATTGGACCACACACTGCCCCCCAAGCACTCCTTGTGTTCCTGACCATGTGTTTAAGAAAGAGAATATGTTGTAACCTTTCCACAAACTATCTGTACATAAAAGCAGGTATTATAAGTATTTAGGGCACACCCTCCTTGAAAGCAGAGTCAGCAGTGGTATTATATATATTTACTGCTCTATTCAGCAACTTCTTTGGCATGGCGGAGGGCTGCTGGTTTTACCACTTATGTCTGACCTACTTTCACATGACAAATAAGCAATAAAAATGAAGGAAACTCTTCACGTGTCTTTACAGACGGTAACTGGCTGAGACACTGTGCCTGTGATCAAACGTCACTGGCAGAGTGACATCAGCGTCGGGCTCCTGAGTGAGGCCCTAACCCTCCAGGGACCGTCTGAACCTGCTTACTGTACATCACTTTGAACCTGCAAAATGTACATCACTTTGGATTAAAGCATCTGCTCAATAAATAAAATGCAATAAATGTAAACCACTATATCACTCAGTCAAAGAACCAGAACCCAGTGCATCAGAGATCTGGAACCCGGTGCGGAGCGAGGAAACGCTCCAACTCGCTGCCGTCAGCTGACCTCTGCTCAATGTTAAAGATGGCGAAGATGTGCTTGCTGGACATGAATCCTTTCTCCACGTCGCGCACCTTCAGGTTGTCCAGAGGCAGCATGTACTTCTTCTCCTTCTCCTGAGACAGACAGAACAACAGAGAGAAGATCGGACTCCATCAGAAGAGCATCCCTGCAGCTGAGATTAATGCACGCAGAGGTCACTCTGAGGGGGAGGTTACTGCCTCACAGTGGGTCACAGGCCTGACAGTAAGAAATCAGGCCTGCAAAAAACACCCCTGCAGAGGCCTGCCTTCCCTGCATGGCGGAGGGTTACATCAGCCGCGAAACAGCAGAACGTGGGAAACGGTGGGTGTCAGAAACAGCTGGGTCACGTCTGAGAGAAGGAGGGCCAGACGGAGGGAGGCAGAGGGAGCCGTGTGAAGGGCGGGCGGGAGGCTGGGAGGGGAAAGGGCGACAGAGGCCATGCGGCAGGTGGAGGAGGTTCAGGCACCAAGGGATGGCGGCAGAGAGGCATCACAAAGACGAGCGTCTGCTCTGTTCAAGGGTAAGATGGAACTTTATTCATCCTGTGAGAGGAAATGCCTTTGTCCAGCAGCACAGAGAAATACAGCAAAGAATAATGTAATGTCAGTAATAAAGTAACCATAAAAATAATAAGTAATTGAATAAATATCCCGTTGACATAATGAATCTCCCTTTGTCCGTCCATTTTCAGGGACGCTTGTCCCTGTGAATATGCCCGTACACGCAGGACACAAGGCAGGAGACACACACACACACACACGCACACACACAGACACAGTCATGTAATCATATCTTTTTGGGGACCGCTCATTCATTTCTATGGGAAAAATGCTAATCCTAACTATGACAACCTTATCCCCTACCCAGCACTAACCCTAACCCTAACCCTAACCAAACAAAATACAAGTCTTTTTGCATTTTTAGTTTTTTCAGTGCAGTCACAGATTTTAACAAAATAGTGTTTACCCATATGGGGACCAGGAAAAAAAACAGGTATTCGTCACGTTGTGGGGACATTTGGTCCCCACAATGTAAGGTATACCTGGACCACACACACACACACAGTCCCCATAAACAACATATCCCTGACTATAAGAGCAAAGCCACAGTAATGCAGACTGGACCCGTGCTCGGTGCCGCCACCCTCAAGCTGGGGATGATGATACCACTCAAACAAAAAACCTATTTTACAGATGTAACTGTGTTATTTGTCGAGTTACCGCTGCGTCCAGCTTTTAAGCATTTTGGCCTTCTTAAGTGTCGGCAGGAGACTGATGGAAATTATGAATGTTACCGAGCAGGAATGCACCCCGATATCAGCACCTAGAGGAGCACACCGGGCTGAAGGAGAAGGTCAGACGCCACCTGCAGGAACGTGGAGCAGCTTGCAGAGCGCCTACTGGGACGCGGAGCGTGTAAGGCGAGAGCGAGGGAGACGGGGGCCCACATGTGAAACTCATTAGCCAGGCCGAGGCTCTCAAACACAACATCTCTCCAAAGAAACCCGTTCCTCCATCCTCCACCCAGCCCCCCCCCCACCCACCCACTCCATCAAGAAGGGCTTTCAGCCGCAGGAAACGGATTCAGTTACAGAGAGAACCGTGGAAGCGGGAGTCCGGATGGGCTAAGGGGAGAAAAGAGGACCTGAGGCACCCAGGCAGGAACCCGAAGAGGAATGGAGCAAGGCTCAGGTGACGATGCGGAGAGGAGACCGGCCACGCGGTCCGGCTTGGAGGCTGGCTGTCTGTGAAGGGCCAGTGGCCGGTGTGAACACAGCCTGGAGCTTGTGCACCCAAAACCACAAGGTCCGGCCGTTCAGCAAACTCTGTGAACCCTCAGTTTTCACCCCCCACACCCCCTCCTTTTTCTGTCTTAAACATTTTTTCTTTCCATTCCAGAGAGGCCCACTTCCTGCCTGGGTTTTCAGAGAAACAAAAAAAAATATGGAATGACTGCCTGGCGTAAAGTCTTCAACATCTGGTACCGTTTTAGTGCCCAGAGAGAGAGAAAGAGAGAGAGAGAGAGAGAGAGAGAGGAGGGAAGGAGACATGGAAAGGGGGGAAAAGGTGGGGCAAGAGGGAAGATGGAAGAAAGACACACTGCAAAGCTGGTGTGGAAGAGCCATCTGGGAGGTAGACTCTGAGAGAGGGGGATGAAGAGGGAGAGCCGAGCAGGCAAACGGCAGATCACTTCAAGCGCTTCCCCCAAGGGTCGCATCACGCCTTATATGGCCAGCGGGTCCCTCCCTCTCTCCTGGCTTTTTTTAATATCCCGTCCCTAAATGCTCCACCAGACTCCCGGACGTCTGAGCGAATGTGCCACGTCAAGGCTGGATATTCGGTGCGGCCGCAGCTCCGGGACGGACCTCTGCCGGCGGGACCGGCGGTGCGAGACCAGAACCATGGCCCAAGAAGACCTAAGAGGAGGAAGCGAGGTCCAAAAGAGGCGTCCTGCAAGCGGGGACGTAGGGGAGGGAGCGGGACGCGGAGCTGCCGTCCCGGGGTGGCCGAGCCGGAGCGAGAGAGCGAGCCAGTGAGCAAGCGAGCAGACGGACGGGATCTTGCTCCGTCATCCCAGTGTTCAGACTACCTGTTCAGGATGATACTGGTGTACAGTAGTCTGCACATTGGTTAGACTGTGCAGGACGCGCGTCTGATCGCGGACGGTGAGACGGGGGCGCCGCCGTTCCCGGGGCCTGAGCGGCGGCGTGCCGGCACACTGACAGTAAGTGAGGGGGCAGAGCCCCGGCAGGGTCGTCCACACAAAGGTGACCGGGCACCCCCCACAGCCAGGAGAATGCGGTTACAGCAGCTGGCTGCAGATCCACGCAAAGATGCCTTACTGCACGATTACTCTGCGCTTAATGCTTTACAGACTCCGAAGTGTGAAGGACGTTATCAGTAGCTGGATGCACCGTAACGCTGACTGAGAATGACGCCTCTGTCATGATTTAAGGTTAAGCTGTAAGGTCTGAATCACAGGTCCCACACCGGCAAGCTTCACTAAGTCAGCAGTTGGGCTTCTATACGCACCGTAACGTGTGTGACTGCTGGTGTGTTTTACTGCATGTGAGCCTGTTTGAGTGCTTGTGCGAGATCCGGCCTGAGGTTCACGCACGTAACGCGCAGCGAGGTACACAGCCACATGAGCGTGCGTGGTGGCGGCAGCAGAGAGTGTCAACGGCGTGCAACCAGCGCGGTCTGGGTGTGCGATCTAGGAGGGGTGAGCAGGAGGTTCGGGCAGGCGGGGCTAGGTGGGGGGGTGGGGTGGGGTGAGGGGCATAAAGTGGGGAAATAGCCATGGGATGTGGGATTTCTCCTCACTGACTCTTGGAAACTGGTGTTTGGATAAAGCCTTGCGATTTTCCAGTTAGGAATGTGAGTCCCAAGGAGAGAGAGAGAGAGAGAAGAGGGGGATAGGGGGAGTAGGAATGGGGCAGGCAGACCACACGAGTGTGGGAGGGGGTCTGCATAATGGCAAAGGAGAGGGTGATAGAAATTGGGAATGAGGGCAGGAATGGGACTGACAGACCACACAAATGCGGAGGTCTGCAAGAGAAGGAGGAGGAGAGACAGAATTGAGGTGGAAAAGGGAGAGGAATGGGGGTGGTCTGCAAAATGGAGAAGGAGAGAGACAGACAGGGATAGAAGGAGCAGGAAAGGGGCTGGCAGGCCATGAGTGTGGGAGGGGGTCTGCAAAATGGAGAAGGAGAGAGACAGACAGGGATAGAAGGAGCAGGAAAGGGGCTGGCAGGCCATGAGTGTGGGAGGGGGTCTGCAAAATGGAGAAGGAGAGAGACAGACAGGGATAGAGGGGGCAGGAAAGGGGCTGGCAGGCTATGAGTGTGGGGTGGGAAGGAGAGAGTGGGGGGACTCCTGAGTTGGTAAAGACTCACTAGGCAGTGATGATCCTCTGAGCACAAACTCAAAGGCTTCACTACTGAAGAATTCAACATATAGCCTGTACAGAAAACTGCGGCACTCCTGTGAAGGTCCAAGAGATCTGAAGGAGTCAGGGGCAGCCAGGTCTGCTTACGCTTAAACGGCAGAGCGCGAGCACACATGACATGGTGTTTGGTAAACAATCCAAACGCAGCTGTGGATGACGCGAATTTCTACGGGGGGCGCTTTACGCTGCAGGTCTGCTTGCATCCGCTGACTCATAATTGCTGCCTGACGACACAAAGCAAACATATACTTTAATTAATTTGTCATTTTCTGTTTAAGCCAACTGAATGCATTACAAAAACGTAATATGGTAAATAAATGAGTCCAACAGGAGAATATTTATTTATGTGTGAGTACCAGAGTAGTCAGGTCGGAGTGACTCACTGCACATAAATTAGTGTTTAAGCGTATTTGAAGGCTCATTTGTCTGAGTTTGAGTCAGTCGGTGTGTGTGTGTGTGTGTGTGCGCGCGTGTGTGTGTGTGTGTGCGCGTGCATGTGTCCACTGGTTTGGCTTGGGGCAATTCCAGCTGTGTCAGAGTGAACTCGTCCAAATGCCTGAACTCCCAAGGGGGGGGGGGCAGGGTGTACAGGGTGGAGAGAGTGAGGGAAGGAGAGAGAGAGGGAGCGAGAGAGAGAAAGGGGGGAAAAGAGGGGAGCAGGAAGAGGGGGTGATATATGAGACTTCTAGGGGACAATAGGCGAGTTGTGGGGGGGTTGCTGTTTAATTTCCAGAGCATAGCTTGTACTCCTGAAAGCTGGAGCCAGGCTGGAGAAGCGAGATGGCAGAAACATCTGGGTGCCGCACAAAAGGCCGAACTGCACCTTTACCATGCAACATGACTTATAAGAAAATGAGAAAATAAAATGACTAAGAATATGAGAAAACAGGGGTCATGTGTGGCTCCTCGGACTGGGACCTGTGGCTGTGTTCAGAAGGTCAGATCCCAGGGTCGGCAGAGTGATTTCAACACTGGGCCCCTGAGCGAGGCCCTTAACCTCAAATTGCTCCAGGAACTGGCTGACCATATTGTCTAAATTTTACATCACTTAACATGAAACTGTCTGCTACATAAATAAGATAAATGACTTCTGAACGTGATCACGGAACAGTACATGTCACTGTGCTCTGTAAGGCTGAGCTCCACCTAATGGATACCCAAGGGCTGAGTCAAGCCGTGACTAAGTGAGACTTTAAAGTGTCTCTTACCCAGCTGGGCTGTGGGACCTGGGAGGGGGCTGAGTGGAGAAGGAGCTATAGAACACAGCCTGCTTGCTGTGGTGCCACCTCCCTGCGGTTCCTGCATGGGCAGAGAGACACATACCGCGGCCCGCATGCCTTCCAGCGTATCGGGAGACTCGCTACGCCTGCACCACGTATCTCTGTGGCTGTACTGCAGAGCCACAATCCACGGATCCATGCGTGTGCTTCGAATCAGAAAAGACAAGCTGCCTCTGTCTTATAAGCCATGAGGCCTGGAGAGACAGGCAGGCCGCCACGAGCCGCCCAGGAAGCCCAGGAAGTTGTCATGTGTCTGCCTGTCTACACTTGCTGTGCAGAACTTCCTGCACCTGTACAGCAGGCACAGACAGGCAGACAGACGGCAGCCCGCCGGGTGGGCACATATACACGGCCAGCCAATCACAGAGCAGCGTCTGGCCGGCAAATCACAGAGCGGGATCTGGCCGGCCAATCACGAAGCGGCATCTGGCTGGCCAATCACGGAACGCAGCCTCACCAGTGGACACGTGATGTGATGCAGCATCCATGATGCGCTCTGGAAAAACGTGAAAGCTCGACAGGAAAGACCCCCTGCCCCCCACCATCTCTGGAACCTTCCTCCCCACTCCCAACCCCTTGTGTCAGTGAGGCTAATATCATATGACTGGGCGTTACTTTGGGAAACCACCTCCCCACTACCTCTGTAATCATAAATAAAATCCACTGTTCAGATCAGCACTGATCAACCTTCTTTATTTCTACATTCTACAAATGTGTGGTCCAGCAGACTCAAAGGTACTGCACAAGGTTTTACTGAATGTGACTGGACAGACGCAGAGCAGTGCTGTTGAGACAAAATGACACTGGCCTTCCACAGCAGGGAAACACTGGCATTCCCGACAACACGAAATGTACACAGCTTTCTTTTCATGTGTAGATTAGACGCATGGAGAATATTGGTCAGAGTTAATGTCCAAGGAGAACAGAGGAGGGTTTAGTGAAGTTTGCCAGGAGTCTGAGCACGTAATGAGAAACATTTTAAATGAAAGGTCCCGGGAGATTTAAAGGGGAGGGAAGCCACATGAAGGGCAGCTCCAGGGAAATTTAAAGGGGAGGGAAGCCACAGGAAGGGCAGCTCTCACCTCGTCATCCTTAAACCACGACAGGCTCTCCGCTGTCAGCACAAACCAGTATTCCTTGGCCCCACCTTTGATGATGCTGATGTTGTTGATGGTCAGCCAGCCCTTCCGGATTACCTGAGAGGGGGCGGAAGGTCAAAGGTCAGCTTCGACACCAAGGTCATGGTTGGATGGGGGGGGAGGGGGAGGGCACGAGAGCCAGAAGAGAGCTGCCAAACTCAGGATGCTGGTCCAGCAGACTCAAAGGTACTGCACAAGGTTTTACTGAATGTGACTGGACAGACGCAGAGCAGTGCTGTTGAGACAAAAACAGTGGAGATACTTTGGCCTCATTCGTTAAGACATTTCGTTCCTCACTGAGATTCTCATGTTTTCCCAACAGCCTGTTCTGGGAAAATGCTTTTATCATCCATCCATTCATACTGGGCACGGTCACACCCACATTAATAACTACAGTGCTCTTGCATATATTAAATGATACTGTGGTCACATGACTCACTCTGATGTGAATGTCCATTGCTCTCCGCACACACACAGGTGCCCCCCAACAGGTCATGGTGACAGGACCAGAGTTAGCAGTCTATGGGGGGGGTGGGGGGGGGCTTGTACCGGAGAGCAATAAACAAGCAGTTTCATATGTTAATTATGCCGATTACACCTCAGCTGATGTCACTCAGCTGCATAGAGTCCAAGCTTACTCACCTGATGACCTACGTCTCAGACAGAGTAAAAAACCCCCCCTCACCAGAATTCGTGTTTCCCATCAGTGGGTGAACAAACAGCTGCACTTGTTCAGTGAAGCCTCCCCTGTTTGATAAATTACACTTTTAACTATTGCAGGGCTCTGAAACATCACAGTGGTAAATTTACTTTGGGAACAACAGCTAATCGACTAATCAGCTAACCGGCTAATCGGCTAACCGGCTAATCGGCTAACCGGCTAATCGGCTAACCGGCGCAAGTGCAGCTGGGGGGTGCGGGGTGGATTAAAGTGCGGTTAATACAGTAGGAGCTCAGCTCCAGTGAGTAGTGATGAAGAGGCTCGTGAATCAGTGTACACCTGGATTAAAACGTCACAGCCACCTGTATACGGAGCACCTCCTTCAGGATTCATGCACAATTGCAAGATGTATTAAAAAGAAATGTAATTTCAGGTACTGTCAAATTGCATACATTCCAAAGAGATCTTTAGAACCTACAGACAGTCCACATTTTTTGCTCCCTTCCAGCTCCTGTGGACTGTCTGAGGGTCAACAAGGGCCAGATTGGGAAACACTCTTTAGAGGATCATTTAAACATCAGTGAAGTAGATTTTAAAGTTGACCATTAGTGTCGCATTCCAATGTAATCACAACAGAGCGAAACTGGGCCCAGGTGGTGAGTTGGTCAGCCTGAATCCAAGTCAAGCGCGTAAGGGGGGCGTGGTGGAAGCTGCGGGCTCGACGGAGTGCCATGAGAGCAGAGGGTTCGGCGAGGGGGGGGTCACCACATCAGGGCCTCCCCCCACGCCGCACATACAGTTATAATGGAAAGCAGCAGTAAGGCTTACACAAACTGGGCTCGTACAATTTGGCTGGGAGGTGGCGGAGCTGCACCCTGTAACAGCAGCGGGGTGGGGGGGGGAGAGAATAAAAAAGGGCATTAAGACACCATGCACCCCCAGCAGGCGGCCCATGGTGGGGGCGGCACACATGGCGCAGGGCAGGACTGGCGGCAGAAGCTCCACCTGAGAGGTTACAGCCACGACGAGGAGGCACCATGTGGACTGACATTAGCATCACTCTCCAACACAGACATGTCCAGCCTGATCTCCAGGCAGCGCTCAGCTCTGAGCTCTGCTCCACACGTCTGCACCATCCATGTAATCCCCAGGTCTGCAATCATGTAACTGGTGCTGGCCAATCAAAACCCAGGGGGTGGAGTCAGCAGCACCACATGCACCCAGCAAGTCCTTACCAGATCCCCCCTCCCCCCCCAGCAAGTCCAGCAGCTGTACAGAGGAGAGGCCAGGAGGGCGGACCGGACAGCATGCATGGAGTACA